GCGGCAGGACTCTCATCACAAAAAAACTTAATGCTTCTGGCATCAACTTCCATAAAAAAATATCTTATCTGACATCAGCATTGTAATTAATGGTTTTCCTTTCTGAACTAGCAACCGTTTTTTATTTCTAGCTGTGTTCTCAGTGGGCTTTGTTAACTGCGGGTGGTTGATGATTATAATGTGGGATCAGTGGCTCGTGCTTCCATACAGCATTTAACACTCTTCCTGATCCATGAAGGAAAACTTCACAACTATTTCTGAAGTTAAGGAATTAGAAGCATATGTTGTTGGAGTCCTTTACATATCACTGTAGAGTAAGATCTATGCACAGACTGCCCATTAATGACAGACCCCTATGTGTTGTAATTCTTTGGACAGTAACCTGCAGATTGTTTGATTAGCTCCGAAGGGCCAGAGGGAACACTGCAGTACTTTTACAGCAGATCTTTTCCTAATTATGAAGCAGAGTAAGGATAAACAAAGGCTTGGAATGAAAACCGGGTATGAACTCCACTTCCCAACTCTGAAGCAATAATAGCACTCCCATAGATAAGCTAGATGTTATGCTATGTTTAGCCAAGTGTTAGGTCAGCAGTCCAATTCAAATGTGGCTGAAATGGTTTCCAGGTAAAGGGCTCAACCAGAGGCGTGTTCAATCCCGTGACTTATTTCCAAATTGGGGGTCATAGACCAGAGAATATGAGTGATACCACAAGCTGCAGATTTGAAAGACTTAATGCCTGATCCTTATTTAATTACTAATTCTATCATTTCTTTTCTGTGCTGGTAATGCTGCAAAACTATCCAGCTTGTTCTTTGTTAATTTGAACACACTTCTGGTTTCTGAATTATGTTAAACAGGGTGTATGGTAGTGTGATGGAGTGTCAGTAGGCTTGACCTTGTGTAACCTCAAAACATTTTTTTTGGGTTATTGTTTCAAAGAAAACTATTTTGTTAGGAAACGGGGAGGGTTTTATTTGGGGAAGTGGGAGGAATTCTTTTAGATGTTCAGTGTTTAAAAAAATTATACAGCAACTATTTTTCTATCTGACAATTGGTTTTAGTTAACTGTTGTTACTCAGTGTACGTACGCAAGTTGTGTATGTTACGAGATATAATCGTGCGGTAGATGTAGGGGAGCTTGTGAGTGAGAAAACATTGCCAACACTGTGTCTAACGAACACACACACTTTCACACACACTCTGCTACCGTAAAACATTGCCCAGACAATGAATGTAGCCAAAATACTTTGGGCTATATTTAGCCTTCCCTGGTGCTCATATTGAATGGTCTATATTGTGATACTATTTTTGTAACTGAATATTAGGTGTAGCTTGGTGAACTAGCTCAACAAGTAAATTCAATAATAGCCTCAAGTATGAAAGACATAACTGATTTAAAAAACAGAAAAAAAAGAAAGAAATACACTCACGTGAAAAAATTGTGTCTAGCTTGCATGTGCTGAACGTACACATACAGTATGTACACTACACGTACACGTACTCGAAAACTTTGCACGGTGGAGCGCCAACTTGCAATTCATGCTGAGAACGTTTGAGCTGTCTTCCGAGTCCTTCGTTGGTTAAAAACTGCAGCATTTCTGTTTTGTTTTTGTTGTTTTTTGGGGGAGGTGGGCTTTAAAGCAAGAGGAAAAAAGAACGGGCGCCTAAATAGATCCTCATACTTGATAGATCCACGATCTTTGTGAATGAGACCTCTTGAATCCCACTTTGTACTACTATGCTAATATTTTCCACCAAACCAATTCATCACAGAAAGACGTTCACATCGACACTTGTTTACATTTTGTATTTGGACCCGTCATGGAGCATTTAAAGCTAATGAAAGACAGCATGTTTTCCATTTGAAGGGGACCTCTTATGCTTCTTCAGTAGCTTTGCATGGTTCACAGTTCAGAATAATCCTTATTTACCTTGACAGCCCACTCAGTTCATTTATTGTGTGAATAAAAGCCATTTTGGCTCCCCGCCCACGCTTTTAACTTTATTCTGATTGGCTGCCCCTCACTCAAAGACTGTTTAAACAGAGGGTGGGTGGGGCTCCTGGTCTCATTGTTAGAGCTGAATTCCTGAGATGACCGTAATCATCTGGGCGCAGATGTAGAACAAAACAGAGCCTTTTGGGTCGTTTGAAGCTTTACCTCGTTATTTGAAAGGTCGACCATTATTAATATCAACATCCACTTTTGTATAAGCATGTGTATGACAGAACATGAGGAAAGGCATAATAGGTCTCCTTTAAAGTCTAAATATAAGATTTGTAGTGTGGTGGATGAGGGTTGTGTTACTGTTGCTCAGGATTAAGGATTTTAGAGTCACAGCTGAAAGATGCCTGATAAAAGGCACTTTGAGTGAAAAAAAGTTCCAGATTAAGGCGTTCGATGTGAGAGCAGCCACATCTTATGTCCAAATTCTAGAGGGCAAACAGTCGGGTAGATCACCACAGGTCAACCACTTACGGGTCTCATGAAACAGGCAATGAAATCATGTGTATTAGCTGGCCTTCGCAAATCACACCAAATCCAGTGAATCTTGCTTTTGACAAAATATATATAGAGAGAGAGATATGCATATATACAGTACAACATGTAACACCATTGGCATGTGGATGGAGAACAGTTGCAGCACCCCCACTGGGTTCTAGTTTATGAGCTAACGTACAATATTTGTTTGAGTTTTCTTTTTGTTTTATTCTATGACTCACTTTGGGTTATGGACATCCATATGTAACTTTTTTTGAGTTTTAGGTTTTAGTATTAGTTACAAAAAAATAGAGACTAAGCATTTTAGCTCAGCATCAGGTTGTTTGATACCACCAGTAACATCATCAGCTCTTCCCTAACTTCGTTTGTTATCATATCTATTAATTGACCTTCATAACCAGATGGCGAAACCTCAACTTCCTCAACTTATGAGCTCGTTTCATCGTAGGCGAGTGAGTAGCTGATATGTATAATACAGCATAAAACCTCACAGTTAACAATGCATTCCTTTAACTATAATCTGTGTTGTGTACAGCTATTTTGTATTATTTTATAACATATTCTTCTGTAATCGTCCGGTGCACAGACAATCGCTATACACATGTCAATAAACCAGTTCAAAGTTTGCCGTGCTGTCCTTTCTGTTTAACAAGGGAAACAAGAAGGCTCCAGCAGAGGGCGCCCTCTACCAGCTCCGAGGTTTCCACACCATGAGCAGGGTTGC